AAAAATGTAAATTATTATAATTATGATTGGCTCGAGAGCTCATTTATTGAAAACGTCACGGTGTTATTCGTCCCTGGGCTTAAACCAGCTACCTTTCGGTTAACAGCCGAACACGCTAGAGACTGCACAATGGTGTTATATTGTATTCATATCGCGAATCCACTCTGAGAAATTGTGTTTAAGAAAAACTTGTACTTCGTCCCTGGGTGGGCTTTAAAACAATTCCTTGTTTATTCTTTTCAATGACATAGGTGATGACGTCACGGATACACAGAACATTATCCGCAATATCGCGGCCTGGTACACAACAAGTCTGGTCTCAGATATAATTGAGCTGAGAACATTACGTAGACGGAACGCCAACAACTTTGAGATAAGTTTGTAATCTACGTTTAAAAGCGGGCGCCAGTTAGCAATAAAACGTTTATCACAATCTTTCTTTGGAATCAGTGTAATGACGCTCATTGTAAACTATGGAATATGTCGTTTTCAAAATGAGATTAGTTATATCCGTGAAATTACGGGTCGCTTATTGTGAGATCTTTTTCGAACAATGTTTGTAAATGTCTGCAACATATGGAATAATCGTATCGGATCTGTACAAAATCTGTCCATGATCGTCCACAATGCATTTCAGTATTTTTTTCTTTTGTTTACATTTTTCAAGTGTCAAAATATATTTAGTATTTTGTTCACACTCTTCTATAATTTGTGCCCTGCTACGGATAGCGGCACCTTTTGTTTTATGTACAATGTTGTTGTTTAGTTCATCCTGTAGACGTGTTGCGCGTGTCTAACAGTAGTCAGGATATGACGCTTTAGCGTATTCATATTTTATTTTTTTCTCTAATGATGTTTTTAGTTTTCGGACTGGCTTTGGCTTTTTTCCCAGCAATATGACATGAAATGCGTTTAATTTCTCGTTTAAGATGTTCCCACCATTCTATTCTATTTTCTGAGTAGATAACATCTTTTCGGGAATTTATAATGAGAGTTTTAATTTCGTGTATATATATATATATTTGGTCTTTTAATAGATAGTTGTTTAAATGCCAGAGACCAGGTCCGCGCCAAGTTTTAGAAAAATCTAAAGTCAATTTAACTGCATCATGATCGCTAAAAGGAAATGAAATTATTTTGCTGGAAGTACAGCAATGTACTTTCTCAGCTGATACGAGACAGTAATCAATTCGTCTTTGGCATAATTGTTGGTCAATAATCATACGCCATGTGAATTCACGCTGAGATGCATGCTGAGCTCTCCAAATATCAATTAAAGATTTTTGTTTTAAAAATGTTTTAAATAGTCTCTAGAACGATATTTATAAAACAATGTACCAGATTTATCAAGGTCATGACATATAACACAATTCAAATCTCAAATGTTTATGTTTGGGCGATCGTTACACAAATATTGGCCAAGCGTCGTCTTTATGTCATATTGTTTGGGGCATACACAATAATCAAATTATTATAATTATCATCGATATCAAGTGTGATTTGGATAAGCCTTCCTGAAAAAGTGAGACTTTCGCTATAATCTGTTACAGTTATACCAGGATGTTTCCGATACAAATATGGCAACACCACACATACCACGGTCATACTGGTTTTCTGAATTACCTGTGATCAGTTCTCCTTCCCAGGATTGTCTGCCAGTGATTTTTGGAATTTTGGAGTCAGTCTAGAACGTTCCTTGTAGTGAGACAACACTAAATTTATGAAGTTTACAATACTGTATTGTATTTGATTGTTTTGTCTGATTTCTTAGACCATTAATATTGATAGATACCAGTGTGACCATAATGACATATATAATGAGTGGTAATTGTAACATAATCATTGTTCAGGTGTCGTTAATTACTTCTCCTGATATGACCTGGTCTGTGATGGCATCTTTCGGTTTAAATTTTGTTACAGTATGTGATTGTTCAATGTTCGGTTTTGGTGCTATTTTTTTCCTTCGATGACTCTGTGGAGTACCTGGCTCGTTCTCAGTAGATGAATCGTGCTGCCGTTTGACGGTTGTAGACAACTTTGATTTGTTAGACTGTTTTTTGGTTACTCTCTTTTTTTGGTCGTCTTTGACAATTGCTTCAATGTCTGAAAGGTGGAGGTTGTGAGATGCCAAGTCCGGACGGCTGCAATCATCAGCCTCTTCCGCATTTTCAAACCCGAGATCTTCCGTTTCGTCCATACCGTCGCTGTCATATTCGTTATCAGGTTTTCTAGCATTCTCATCGCCGGTGTCATTCGTTCTCTTTAAACTTGTCTTCATTGGTGTTCAATAATTTTCCTCGTTTGATTCGACTTCCTCAACGACTGCTTTCTTTTCCGTGTAGTCTCTAACGGAATTACTAGTATAACAATGATGTGCGATGTGACCATTTTCTGCACATTTAAAGCACTTGCGATTTTCACAGATTCTCTCTGTATGACCTAGTTGTTTGCAGATTTTACACATATAACTAGGGCAGTCGTGAATAACGTGGGTTACACACTTTATGCTGATTGTTATGTAATAAACGAGTGTATGGCCCATTGTCTTCAAACTTGATTGCATATGGCAATGACATCACACTTGCAGGGAATTCAACACGAACAAAGCGAGTACCATTTTCAATAGTGGGGGCCTCTCGGTAGTATTTGTGCAACACTGGGCTTCTAATTGTGCCTCCAAATTGCTCAAAACGGCATGTAATTACTTCGTCCTGAATATAAGCAGGAACGTTGAAAAAAGATACTGTCAGGAAGTTACGGCTCACGCCATGCACTTCACACTCCACACCATTAATGGCAATGCCTTGTTCAAGTAAGAGCTCAACAGACTCGGTAGAAACAAGAGTTATTTGCCAAACACCATTAATAGTAATTCATGCTAACATAGATTCTGTTCCACATGCTCCATGTACAGCCTCAATGACATCTAAAGCATTAAAATTACAATCAACAATGGTTACCGTGTTGTCCTTCGTGGCAGGTGGTCGCCGAGTACCTTGAGCACGAGGGGCGGCCATAATGGCCTAACCTCTCGTGCAGCGCTTGAAGAAAACACAGGTCACAGAAGGCCTTTTCTCGCTACCACGAAATAAAAGTGAAAAACGTCTTATGGTGGTAGAACGGCACTACAAATTACTGCGATTAACACAGGGTGGCACAGTGATCAGCATATGCTGGAGCACCTGTTGAACAAGTCCTACTTGGACGAGAACTGGTGTATATTATGTTGCATTCATATCCCGAATCCACACATGAAAAATTGTGTGTAATAAAAACTTGGACTTCGTCCTTGGGTGGGGTTGAAACACCAATCTTTCGGTTAACAGCCGAACGTGATAACCGATTGCGCCATAGGGACTGCAACAATGATCTTATGTTGTATTCATATCACGAATGCACACATGAGAAATAGTGTGTAATGAAAACTTGTACTTCGTCCTTGGGTGGGGTTGAACCACCAAACTTTCGGTTAACAGCCGAACGCACTAACCAATTGCGCCACAGAGACTGCAACAATGGTGATATGTTGCATTCATATCGCGAAACCACACATGTGAAATTGTGTGTAATAAAAACTTGTACTTCGTCCCTGGGTGTGGTTTAACCACAAACCCTTCGGTTAACAGCCGAACGCGCTAACCGATTGCGCCACAGAGACTGTGACAATGATATAATGTTGTTTT